ACTACTACCGATATTGCCGTATTCCTGCAGAGATAACGACTGAAATTCCTTTTCATATCCTTTGCGACGCCAGAATATCTTGTAGTAGACTCCAGGACCGTTCTGATCGGACGGATTGAGAGGATCCCACGTGATCGTGAGATCACCAATTTTTCCTCCACCACCGCTAATATTCGATGGTGCTTTCGCAGGTTTATCGGACGGAGTGCTGTATCGAGGTGAGGGTAACGATGGCGGACCATAACCAAATTCATTGAACGCAAGCACACGGAATTCGTAAGTGGAGTAAGGATTCAGAACGTTCTCGAGATTCGCCTCTTTTCGGCCATTGTATCTATCCGCTTCAAAAGCCGTAATATCTAAAAGTAATCATATACATGTTTATGTTAGACTAAAAGAGAAAACAGATATAATGAAGAAGCGTTGGAATATTTAATTTAATATTGGAAGTATCATAATTAATAAATACTCATTGTTGAAATCGTTTCTGTAAGAAATCATAATTATGAAATAGTAAACTTACTTTCTACGAGAGAAAACCACGTTTGATTCCAATCTGTTCGCGCACTGATTGTATACATAGTTATTGGTTTGCCATTCATAGCACCATCGCTCCATCGTAATGTGGCTGAAGTTTTAAAGATATTCATAACTTGTACTCCACCAGGTGGTCCCGGTGGTCCCTGTACGATCAGATTAAGCTTGCTCGATATTGCGCCAACGGCACTTTTCAAGATACATTCGTATTCACCAGCTTCAGTGAATGTGGCATTTATAATATTCAAATATTCGCCATTGATATTTAATCGTGGATTATTCTGCAAATCCTTATCACGAATACGCATACCATTATGCGTCCAAATATACGCTATATCCAACATTTCGTCAATATGACCCAAACAGTGTAATGTCAGATTATTATTATAATATAGAATTATCTGTGATGGCAATCTTTGAACAAATTGTGGTCCACCTGCATGTATAAACAATTTTATATAATTACATATGTAAATTAAATTTATATATAAATTGTTATATAGAAAACTCAAATTTTTACGATATAACGCAAATTTCAATATAAATATCAAATTTACTTTTTTGATTATATAT